GTGTGTGTGTGTGTGATGCATTCAAGTACTGCTCGTAAATGAAATGTAAAACAATAGACAGTATTTGGGCTGTCCACATGCCGAGAAACAATGGAAAGATTTAGAAAACGGCGGGAGTCAATGCAGTATCTACTCAAGTACTGTACTTTTGGTTGCTTTTGCTTTTCAGATTAGGATTTTATATTAAAAAAACATTTTATTAATTGTTGAAGAAAAATCATTCCAGTCCAATTTCAGGTTTGCTGTGGTGTGTGGTTTAATAAAGAATTTAACTTTACATATCACAGACAGGTCTGAGTTGGTAAGCGGACACAGTTGAAACACAGTACTTTTATACATGGCCAATCCAATATCTAGTTATGTAAATGGTATTCAGTAGACGTTACATGATTATCATTGGAGTCAGATGGAAGTAAAACAAAAGGTAGTGGTCAGACAAAGGTGATGGAGACAAAGGACAGGAAAGGTAGGTGTGGGGGTTTGATCAAGGGGGAAGGAGACAATATGAATTTACATTTGAGAATGAAAGGGACACAACCAGCTGCCACCTCTCATTTGGTTAGCAAGTAACTGTAAAATTTTCCTCCTCATAATAACAATGCATTGAATAAGATTAAACCAGTGGTTTCCAGGCATTTTGGTTTGTGACCCCTGACAAAAAAGCAATGTCTAGTTGGGGCCTCTTGTCACATTTCAAGAGGGAGACAGTTACTCTCTAAACTTCTCAGATGGGTTCATTTAAACAAATATTTGGTTGAAACAGAAAACACTTTCCAACATTTCACAAAATATCAAAGATTAAAGGATAATCCAAAAAAACAACAACATAATGACAGAGACTGTCCAGAGAGTCTCCTTTACCAACTTAAATGTACTACATGGAGTTTTAACAGGTAATGAAACAGTCTAAATGTAATACTGATGTATCTGTATCACCTACAGAAGCACATGAGACCATCAGTGAGGCTATTTCTATAGTTATTCTTAATGCCTGCTACTGGGGCGGATTCAGTCAGATTGCCCTTGAATTCAACAAAACAAGGTATTGGCAACACTACAAATGCCAGAATCAAAATATATACATAGTGATAATTAATTTTCTTAATTTTGTTCTCAATAAATTAAAAGTTAATGTGAGAATGAAAAATATGATGGTCACTGTGAAATACTATTCCTTTGTTCAACCACAGTTCAGATCTAATACAATGATTCATAGCTGTGGTTACACGGTTGATTTATGTTTATGGTATTTGATTTGGACAGTCAACAATCAACCAGTCAGAAACTAACTATTTCTAAGGCCGTTATTTAAATGATTAATGTGTGATCTTTGAGTGTCAAACATAATTAAAACAAAATGTTCATTAGCTAGTAAAAGGATACTTAAACCCTCAAATGTACTCAGTTTACAAAGTGCATGAAACACGGGAAAGAAATAGTTAGAGACTTTAGTCATTGTTGTTTGTGGTCTGAACAAATTGTAAACTGATACTTCTTCCTCTTCTTTAAACAAACAGCCTTCAAAAGACTTGGTGGGCTAATCTGAGTGTGAGATTTGGACATTTTACAGAAGACCTCAGTGAAGATAAGATAAGATAAGATATTCCTTTATTTGTCCGACAATGGGGAAATTCCATATTTTACNNATAGAGAAAAAACAGTATAAAAAATATTAAAGATGGTGATCATTAATGATGGGCTTGGCAGCGACTAACATTCAGATGGGACACGTGTGTTTTTGTAGAATGCAGCAGCTGATTATGTTTGTCTGTGAGCACGAGCAAGCACTGAACCTACACTGGTGTAAACATCTTGACACTTGAGACATGCGCAGTCATTTTTATACTTAATTATGAGCCCACTTAATGATTATCTAATGTGTGCCAGTGAATCCAAAGTCTGGTTATATTGTTCTGGAAGAACATACCTCACATTGTAGAAATACTCAAGCAGACACAGACTGATATGGATAAGATGTGTAACTCCACTGCATGTGAATGAATTAAACAACTAACAAATAAGCAATATTTTTCAATATTTTGTAGATATCCCTTTTGGTAAAGAGGAAAGGAAAAGCAATAATTAAAAAGGGAATAATGAGAAAATGGCAAGAAAAATATGGGAGGGGGATAATAATATATTACAAATAACATAAATCAATAAATGCACAGGGAGGAGGGAGGAAGTAATTTTAACTAGATTAAGATTTGATCATAGAGGTCTAAACAACACTTTTCTTTCTCAACAGTAAACAATGGGCAGAAAAATGTTCACATTGCAAAACAATATAAAATGTAAAACACAAACTTATGAACCGTAATAAATAAAAGGAAGAGAGAGAGAACATGGAGGGGATACTGGGGACTACTGGAGAAGAGATAAAGGATGCACAGAAAGCCACAAGAGAGTTTTTGAAGGCTACCAGGTTTATGTAATATGTATGTATGTTAAGTCTGGATACAGTAGTTTTTTGTTTGTTTTGTTTTGAAAACAAACTATATTCTATCTCATATGTGCACAGTTAATAACAATGTAAACCCAATGTGTAAAACCAATGTCTACATACTCAGTACAGTAGGTGGCGGTAGGCTCTGCAGTGTTGAACTCAACCACAAGGGGGCGACACACGACCAGCTCTGAAGCGGAAGTAGTTTTCTGTCAGCTGACACAAAATGTTGTTTTGGTCCTCCTCCTCCTCCTCCTCGCTAGGGTTTACTAGCTGCTCTTCATCCACTTGTGTTCCTGTGATCGGATTGTTGTGGGACAACTAAAGGAAATGAAGAAGTTTTTCGAAGACATTAAGAAGGACATGAAATTTAAAACTGCGGGACCTGGGAAGAAACTAACAGAAGACAGCAGGTAAATAATAACACTTCAACGCTAACCACACAGCTAGCTGTCTGTCGTCTCTAATGTGGAGTTAGGAAACAGCTCGTCATTGATTATCGGGTCGAAATTAGCAAGCCATAAAGCTAACTAGAGCCATCCTGATTCTCTGTGTGTTAGATAGCGCTAGATAACTGTTAGCAACTGGATTAGCGTTATGTAATACTCATCTCAGGGTAGCTAACAGCTAATCCCCGAGCTAGATTATTCAACCAACAGTCTTAGTAACTAAAGTGACTTTTACTCGCAGTTAAGCCACCTCGCTTTACTCAGAGTTCACCTGTGTCACTGCTGTTTGGATAGTGTTGTTAGCATATGGACTTAGCCTACACTGCACACTTCTTACGTCTCCTCCTCTCTCCGTC